CCTGTGGAGTGCTTACAGATTGATCAGACAATGCCAAGGTCACCACTGCATCCTGGGCCATTGCCAATCATCTTGACTTTTGTCTTCCCACTGGACTTTGACAACTCTGGAAGAGAGAGTGAGGCTAAGGACTGGATAAATCTGTCTCTCTTAAATCCAATTCATACCCAAGTCAAGACATCATTTTTTGATGTCATTGATCCTCTTCAAAACAAATCCCCCTGCCCCAAGTCTATTCCCTCTCTAGCCAGACACACAACTACCAATGGATATTCCTAAAACACAACTTTGCCTTTCTCCTTCAATGTCTCCAGTTGCTGCTAAGATAAAACTCAAAACCCTCAGCCTGACATTTAGAGCCCTCTACATACTGGAAGATGATACAAGTGAAATAGAACAAGATTCGGATGGAAAATCTAGGTTTGAATTGTGGCTCAGCCATTTTGTGACATCAGACCAATTGTTCAACCTTTTTGGGCTTCTGTTTCCTTATCTATAAAACGAGTGGGGTTGGAATAAATGTCCTCTGAGGTAACAACCTTCATTCCATCTACCTTTTTAGTTTAATTTTGCAATGCATCCCTTCACTTACTTTCTATTCCTTTCAAGCAGGTTTACCAGTTGTTCCTAGTAAAAAACATTTTATCTTCCACCCCTGTACTTTTACACAATTGGTCTCCTATGTCAGGGATGCACACTGCCCTCATTCTCCTCTCTCAGAATCCCTACCTTCCTTCAAAGATCAGCTAGGGGCTGCCTAGTACTATCATTTTTCTTGATCCTCTAGTGTCTTAGTGCTTTCTTCCTTTTGAAATTATCTGTATTTAATTTGTACATAGACATTGCATTTATTTAGCCACATGCATGTTGTAATCACACTCCCTTCACTCCACAATAGAAAGCCTTTTGAGGGCAAAGACGTCTCTTTTTTGTGTCCTTTATATCACTAGCACCTGATGCATAGGTGTTAACAAATGTCAATTGAATGAAATTGAATCAAACTGAATTGAACTGGATCAATGTAAAATTAACACTATTACTTGAAAAAGAGCTTGAGAAGGTGTTATTTAATTTCATTAAGCTTTAACCCTTAATTAAACAAATATGTGAGCAACATCCTTTTTGTTTATGGAAAGCCCAGCCTATTGACATATGCAACTATAAAATACCACCTCTGACCCTATTTAATTCTGGATATTTTTCATATTCACACTGTACTTTGGTGAAAGTAGCAGCCCACCTGTTGTTCTATGAACATTATCCTTTCCCAACTTGCACTCTCTATGATTTTGCTTGTCCTGTTCCCTTCACCTGGAACATCCTCTCCCCATGACTCTACTTACCAATTCCTGCCCATCCTCTGAAGCCCAGTTCAAATGCCACCCCGGTTAAGAAGTATCCCATGATCTTACCAGTTGGAAGTCATTTCTTCCTCCCCTGAATTCTCAAGCCCAGTTCAAATGCCACCCCGGTTAAGAAGTATCCCATGATCTTACCAGTTGGAAGTCATTTCTTCCTCCCCTGAATTCTCATAACACTTTATACCTATCACATAATACTTTTACATTATACCCTTGATTATAGTTATTTTTATGTCTGTGAATAATATAAGTTATAGCATTTCATCTCCTCTACTAAATTTCAACCCCTTGAGGACAGGTGGTAATTCTTATTCATTTTTTATCTTTCCCCTGTGCCTAGCAGGGAGCCTCCACTCAATAAATATTCAAAGATTGAAATTAATGAATATTCACTGCTAGTCAGCCTCTTTCTTTGTTAGTAACAGGCCATAATTTAAAATATGTAACTTCTATCAGCTATTCATAACATCAGTATATGAAGGTTGATTTATGTAGTAAGAGAAATAGAAAAAAGAGATTAGCTTAAAGAATGAGTGAAGGGTTTTTTTCCCCTTCAAATCAATTTCGCCCTTAAGAAACACCAAATACTGAACAAGAGATAACTCCAGGAAAGAGGTTGTAAGAGATATATTGCTCAGCTAGGGAACTGGGTGTCTGATTGATAATATTCCTCATCTCTAGTTTGATTCTTGCTCCTGGATCATCTTTCTGCCATGCCAAAACTTACATACCTCTACCTCTGGCTCTGGGAACAGTAATCAAATCAATACTACCCTTTCTAGAAAGACAAATTATCACATGACTACATTTACCATTCCTGTGATTTTTCTGATCAAAGTATTCTTTCATGGCCATCACTCCCACATATATTTTGTCTTCCTCTATTTAAATGTAAATTCCTAGAGAGAAAGTAGTGTCTTGTTTTTTGGTTGTTGGTTTTTTTTTTTTTAAATGTCCCTCCCTGCCTAGCATAGAGCTTGGCACATATTAGGTACTTAATAAATGCCTTGTCATTCATTCATTCATTTATGCTGAGTCATTACAGGATATTAGGCTCCTGTAGATTCTGTAATAAGCCAGCTTCCACAAGTTTTCAAATGAACTTTTAAAGTAATGAAATTAAGTCAGAAGTATATTCAAATATTCAAATTGATCTGGGACCTTATTAATTTAATGTGTCTTCACTCTACACAGATAATAATCTATCCATGCCTGCCTATCCGGGGTGACTCTTATCTGTGCCTTACCATAAGTTCATCACAATGGGCTCACCTAGTGTACTAAAGGTTTTTGTTGCTTTCTCCTGACATCTCAAGCTTACAAATGATACAGTCATGTTGCCCATCTATTGTTCTTCACCTTTGCCATGCAACAAACCCATCTTTTTGTCCTTCCTATTCTTCCTTGAAGTTTCTTAAATGGTCATATGCTGTAGTCTCTTCATACCCACCATGTACAGCTCCATTGTCCTTTGTGTGAAAATCATTCTCAATTCTCCCAGGACTAGGGTGTTCTATGTCCTATTGCCATAAAGCAACACTGGTATTTTTTTTAAAATAGCCTTGTTTATGCAACAAATTTGGGGGTCATAAAAGGATCACTGCTGTTTCCTGAAAAGAATCCATCCCCACTGTCCATTAACTGGGCTAAACTCACTGTTTATCTGTATTCTCTGTATACATCCTGACAGACAAGTTTGTTAAGTTAACTGCATATCATAATCAAGACAATAGACATTCTTAATTCATTTGGTCTTCCCCATGTAGAGAGTCAAGGTAAACCCTTTTGAGTTAGACATGAATTACTCCCAGGAGGCTCCACAGTGTTCCAGGGTTTGATGTAATCAGCCATTTGTTATCCATAAATAGGAGGATTTAGAGGACTTCACTATCCATATGGAAGCCTTCTTTAATTTATGTTTTGCACCGGATCTTCTCCATCACAGTGGTGAATGTCTATGGAAAGCATATAGGGGGAAGAAATACATAATATACATACATATATATATACACACACACATACACATATACATATACATATATACGTACATATTTGTGTGTATTATATATATGTATGGAGAGAGAAGGAAGAAGAAGAAGAAGAAGAAGAAAAGAGAAGAGAGAGGAGAGAGAGAGAGAGAGAGAGAAAGTTGTATATAGAGAAACAGAGACAAAAATATATAGGTAGAACTAGAGGTAGATATGTATGTATATGTTTATGTATGCATATATGTATGTATATGTTTGCATGTATACATATTTATATATGTTATGTGTATGTACACACACATACACACACACACACATATATATATATATGTAGGAAATCTTAGCAGGATACAGATAAATTACTAGAATTATAGAATTTAAAGATTTAGAGGTAATCTAGTCCAAGAGATGCAAAAATGGAGTATCAGAAAATTAAGTGAATTCAGTTCACAGCAGGAAACAAATAGACACAATAAGAACAACAAAGGCATTTCAAAGATCAAGAAGAACAGAGGACTGTGAAACACTAACATAGCAACGTAATAATGGTTTTAAAAAACTTCATTATTAAATACACATAATTTTAAAAGATTTCATCAATAAGGCAAACTCATATTCAAAGACTGTAAGAAAGGAATATGAAAACCACTCCTAATAATTCTTTTAAACCAGTGCCAAGGAGATAGGAAAGAAAAGTGGAAAAGTAATTTATGTGTGTGACACTAAGTTAACAGATGGTGAACTGCTGTACTGCAAGAAAATTCATAGTGAGTCTGCAAATTTTCAGCACACACTATTGAATCTAGAAAATGGCTACCATTAAGTTATACTGAGTACCTGAAGAACATCTAGTATACAACAACAATAATAATACTTCACACATAGAGAGCTCTAAGGTTAATATCTATATGTATAAACCAGACTTTCATATTTTCAAATATGTAAGCCTATCTGCAAAATCAGTTTTTCCTGAAGGAAGAAAAACATTCAAAGCCAGCACTTCAAAGGGAGGTTGTTAATGTAATTAATAGTGTAGTAAATGAACTTAGTTGCATTTGTGATAAACATAGTGAACAATACAATGAAATATACTAAAGGACAGGCACGAGGCATTTGTGCTTTAGAAACTGTGGAATAGTAAAGAACGATGATAGCTTTAGGTCCTGCTTGAATAAAGGCTTGTGTACCTTGCTTTTATTAAGAGCTAGCCTAATATTTCTGTATTTGGGTGGGATAGAATGCCCCACTTGCTTCTATAGTAGGGACTCTTAAATTGGCATCTGTGAATTTTTTTTCAATATATTGTAAACTGTATTTCGATAATTGAGTTTATTTTATGCATTTAAAAATATTATTCTGAAAAGGGATCCATAGCTTATACCACGCTGCCAAAAGGGTTCGTGATAAAATAAAAAAGGCTGAGACTCTTTATTCAATGGAATGGTGACCATTCCTTGTGTGAAAATACTGAGTAAGAGTCAGTACTTGATAAGAATTCAAAAGATCTGCAATTAATACCAACGTGAGCCATTGAAACACATGCTCTGTCAATGCTCTCTCACTGACAGGTAATCATTAATTCATTTGCTAACTATGCACTAGCTGCCTAAAATAAGGGAAAGGTCCAAAGCTTTGGAACCTTCCAGCGAGGAATTTACAATGTTTGGTGAGATGAGAAGCTTGAAGAATAACTAACAATCCAAGACATGAACTGATAACTGCTCAGTAAGTGGAACAGATAAGAAGTTTGATGGGAACAGGGGTTGCTGTGGTTTGGAGTGTTTAAGGAAAACTTCAGAGAACTGGTGAGACTTGACAGATAGACAAAATGCAGATGGAGAGGTGATGGGGAGCACATTCTAAGTAAAGGGTGAATATAAACAGAGACAGAGGAACATTTAGAGGACATTTTAGCAGACTAATATAATTAAGAGGGCTTAGATGGAGTACCTATGGCAACTTGCTAGTACATGGGGCTAATAATGGCAGCACCATTTAGTAGCTATAAGTAATGGAATATAAATTTGAAAAAGTAGATTTGGGCCAGTCAGATTTTGGAAGACCTTGAATGCGTTGACTTTGGGATTTATTTTGTAGGGAATGACATCATTAAAAGCCTTTGTTGTTGTCTTTTTTTGTCAAAAGATGAAAGTGGTATCTTTGAAATATTAATTTCCAAACAATGCTCTATATATGGAATAGAGATGAGAAAGAGTGTGTGGACATAAGACTAACCTATTACAACTATAAGTTCTTTATAGTTCCATGTAGGACATATGTCATATCTTTATGACCTCAGCTAATCACACAATCTTATACATAGAAGATGCTTACTAAATACTTATTGACTTCAACTAAATAGCAGACACATGAGATTATGGAAGCCTAAACCAGGTCAATAGCACAGGAAAGAAAGGAGAGATATTATGACAACTAAGAACACTTGTGTAAAAAACAAACAAACAAATGATTATACTTGCCAATAGAAATGATTTAATGAATTTGTTAATAGATATTACTCATAAATATTTCCTTAAGCTCATTCTTTTGGCATTAATATATTCCTGTTCATTAAGTGTACAAACTGTTTAAAACTTTGTTTGTGTCTAAGGTTCTTCTTTATATCCATCAGATGAGCAAAGTTTACAAAAAAGTGAAAACACAGATGTTGGAGGGGCTGTGGGAAAACAGGCACATTAATAATGCACCATTGTTGAAGTTCTGGATTGACACAGCAATTTGGAACTATATCTAAAAAGTTATTAAACTGTGCATACCCTTTGGTGCAATAGTACCACCACTACGTCTATACTCAAAAGAGAGCAAAGAGGGAAAAAACCCAGTAGTTTTTTTTTTTGTAATCACAAAGAAAAGGAAACAAAGAGGGCACTGATCAATTGGGGAATGGCCAAATAAATTATGGCATATGACTAATGTAATATTATTGTGTCATAAGAAATTATGATGGGAATGGCTTCAGTGAAACTGGGAAAATTTGCATTAAATGATGCAAAATGAAATGAGAATAAGAAATTTCTACAATGATAATGTTGTAAAGATAAATAAATCTGAAGGACTTGAAAACTCTGATCAAAACAATGACCAACCACAATTCCAGAAGACCTACGTTAAGAATGAGTGGTGAACCCAGGCATACACACACATACACACACACACACACACACACACACACACACATATATATATGCATATATATATATATATATATAAAATATACATATATACTGTAATTTTTGTTTGCAATGATCTATTCTAAATTGACATCATAAATTCTATCTTTTTTCTGCCAACATATATGCATGGCTTAACCATTTGCTTGAAATTTCTTTATTGACATATACATTGTTGATTGAGTTCCTGTATAAGTCATCCACGGATGGGTCTCCTCATTCCAGTCTTGGATTTAAGGTGTTTGATAGGTTCCATCTAGAGGTAAACCACTTCCATATACTTTAATTAATCTTATGGCATGGACATGTTGTCAGACTTTATTATCATTTTGTGAAGTGATGTATATTTGTTCCAGAATATTTCTCAAGGTATTTTTTTTTTACTTGCTTATCCTGCCTTCTAAGAATGCAATACTTTTCTCCCTTTTTAGGTAGGAAATGTTAATCTTTCTGTAGCTAGCTAAGAACAGTAAGCACTGTTTCATTAATTTTGTAGGGGTTTTTGTTAGGATGATTTCCAAATCTGTTATAGTGCATCTTTAGTCATGAATATGTATATTAAGACAGATATGGTATCAATGTTAATTGATTTAAATGTATCCTTCCCATTCAGCTTGGCTTTTAGGATGCTATTCTCTTAATGTATTGAGTCACACCTTTCCCCTTGATATGCCCAATGGGTCTTGCCTATAGAAGAACAAGGTGTTTTGGGAATCACCTTTATCTAGTGATGCAATATGACTTCTGGATTCAGTTTGGAGCTTCCATTGTCTACCTTTCTAGAATGCATGTTAATAGATTTATATTTATGAAGTCTAAGCAGCATCTTCAAATCATTAGGGATTGTTGCTATTCACCCTTTGTTCTCAAAGAGGACCAATGACACCAGGAGGGTACTGTCTTGACTTGGAATTGAACTACATTTAAGTGAGGCAAGGCTGGGCAAAGTCATCAGCCTCACTCTCTCCTCCAGAGTTGTCAGAGTCCAGTGGCAAGACATAGGTCAGAAGGACTGGCAGTGGGCCTCGATGTAGCGGGAGACCTTGGCCTTTTTTTCCATTGGAGAAAGCTTCTATAAGGCAGGAACTATTAAGGGCATTTTTCAGTGGAGTCAGGTAGCTTGATGGAGTCCCTGAACAACTAGTAATTAATGAAATGTTTTGGGTTGACTCTCTATTTAATTTAGAAGCCATACCACATTCTATTTATGAGAAAATATAATTATTAATTATTATTTTACTTTGTTTCCTGATTATTTGATTGCTTTCTTAAAGACAAAATCATGTGTTTTTCTGTTTTTTTAAGTCTTTTTCCTATTACACAGATGACAGTTACCAAAGAGTTAATATTATTAGAAAGTGAAGCATTTAAATGGAGTATTTTGAAGGAATTTTGATTATATTGTATACTGTTGTCTTAAAGCCTCAAGAACAAAATAATTACATGCTTTTGAGTTCAGTTTTTCTTTTTCAAAACCTAGCATTTCTTCATCTGTACAGTTTCTGAGCTGACACAAGTTTTAAAATTTGAGAAAATTTGAGAATACTTTTTTTTCTTGCCAGCAAAATGGAAAAATACTAGATAAAATAAGTCATTAAAATACCCTCCACCTGGTAGTGATAATAGCTGTAGTACGGATGCTTGGGCAGTAAATAATCTGATATCAAGCATTCAATCTAACAGCATTTGCCACGTGCCTATATGTGGTAGGCTCTACGTTAGAAGCTGGGAATACAAAAACCATAATGAAACAGTCTCTACCTGCCAGGAGCTTAGGCAGGAAGATGTACTGGGTTTTATAAAGGAAAAGAAGACAATGACCCTTGTGTTAAAACTCTTTCTGGTACAAATTCAATGCTCCTCAACCTGGAAGTAAAGAGAAATGTTTTAGGCCACCTAGGGTCTGTTCCAGTCCTGTGATTCTATCATCATAACTTAAATCTTTGAAGATCATTGCCTTCTATAGCTACCTGTGCATTTTACACTTTTAATTATTTATTTATTTTCACATTCTTTTCTTTTTAAATTTTGAGTTCCAAATTCTCTCCTTCCCCTCTATCATTCTTCTAACACTGAGAAGGCAAGCAAAAAATATCTATCAACTAATACAGATGTAATCATGCAAAACATTCCTATATTAGCCATATTAGATAAAAACAAGAAAAATAAAGACAATGAAAAAATTATACTTCAATAAGCACTCAGAGTTGATGCTTATAGCATTTTTTCATCATGAGTCCTTAGGAATTATCTTGGATCATTGTATTGACCAGAGGAGCCAAGTCTTTCACAGTTGATCATCATTACAACATTGCTGTTATTATACACAATGATCTCCCAGTTCTTCTTCCTTCACTTTGCATCCTCTCACATAGGTCTTCCCATGTTTCTCTGAAATCATCCCCCTTGTCACTTCTTATAGAACAATAGCACTCCATTACAATCATATGCCACAACTTGTCTAGCCATTTCCCAATCAATGGGCAGGCATCCCCTCAATTTCCAATTTTTTGTCACCATAAAGAGAGCTGCTATAAGTATTTTTGTACTTATAGGTCCTTTTCCTTTTTCTTTGATCTCTTTGGAACACAGACGTAGTAGTCTACCTATGTATTTTGCACAGAGAAAGTGATGGCTCAGTTCCTCTGAATTGTCTGAGTGGCTTGCTAAGTTGATGTTAGACTTAAATCATAGTTTCTCCTTATGTTCCTAGCTCAAGCCTAGTTCCTTAATGCCTGCCAGATTTGGTAATACTAGTCAGCATCTTCCTGTTATTTCAGTTGGGCAAGACCAGGTTCATAAAACAGAAAATTCAAGCCAAGATAAAAATATGACTAGTTGTAATCTTCTACTGGGAAGCTAGGATCTATCTCCATTACCCAATTCCACTTTTTGTAAGCCCCCCAAGCTACAGTCATACTTTCTTTGAAACCACATGTCTTTCAAAAACTGACCTCCCTCTTGACTAAAGAGACATCGACCCAGTCCTTTTATGTGCTGCAGCCTGAAATTATTCTCCTTTTAAAAGATTGTTCCTAAAGACCCCAGGACCAAAATATTGTCACTATCTTAATCCCTCTTCTCCATTTGCATTTCAAGAGAACCCTTATGTTCTTGTTCGAGCCCACACACTGACATAGAAACAACACTCTATTTTTTCCTGCTCCCCAAAGTTTACATAACTGTGTGAGTTGTGTGTGGGAAGATGCCCTTGTAATGGAGCTTCTGCAGAGAAAAGGCTGAGGCCCTAGTCAGAGAGCTGGGTCCCTTGTTCCTTTGGCATACAGTCAGTGCTCAGAAAAGCCTTCGCTTGCCTGACATGGGTCCAGTAACCTTCATAAAATGCCTTATTGATATTCCTGTGATTTGGGACTCAAAGACTCATTTCTCTCCTACCACCTGGTCTGTCCATAAGAATTGCCAGGACTTCCTCTGCAGTCTCTTTGAGATCCTCTACATTCTGCTCATCCAAGTCTAGTCTAGGCCTCAACAGCAGTCCAGCAATAACTGACCCTGATCCATCTCTGCCTCATG